AGTGGTGAAAGTTACAGTGGTCACACTCCAACAGCAAGTTCACACTGACTCGTACCTAGTATGCTTATACCAGCCTGCTGGATGCTCAAGCCACTAAAACCCAAGTGTCTTCTATACCCTTCCTCCAGTAACATATGCAACGAAGAGGCGGGGCCAGGAGCTGTGACTCGACCCCTGCAACCACAAACAGCACTCATTTATAACAGATTTAATATATATTACAAGGGTTACAATGGAAATAAATTAATTGTACGTTATCAGTATTTATTCTAGATAATTTACACATTTTGTGAGTAAGAGAAGTGTAACTATACAAAGACTGTGTAACAATGATTCTCTAAATACATTTTTTGGTTAAATAAGTCACTTTTGACTTATTTGGGTTATGTTGTCGCTCACAGGATGTTTACCTGGAGTTTACCTGGGGTTTACCTGGAGTTTATCTGGAGTTTACCTGGAGTTTACCTGGAGTTTACCTGGGGTTTACCTGGAGTTTACCTGGAGTTTACCTAGAGTTTACCTGGAGTTTACCTGGAGTTTACCTGGAGTTTAACTGGAGTTTACCTAGTTTACCTGGAGTTTACCTGGGGTTTACCTGGAGTTTACCTGGAGTTTACCTGGAGTTTACCTAGTTTACCTGGAGTTTACCTGGAGTTTACCTGGAGCTTACCTAGTTTACCTGGAGTTTACCTGGAGTTTAACTGGAGTTTACCTAGTTTACCTGGAGTTTACCTGGAGTTTACCTGGAGTTTACCTGGAGTTTAACTGGAGTTTACCTAGTTTACCTGGAGTTTTTCCTGGGGTTTACCTGGAGTTTACTGGAGTTTACCTGGAGTTTACCTGGAGTTTACCTGGAGTTTACCTGGAGTTTACCTGGAGCTTACCTAGTTTACCTGGAGTTTACCTGGAGTTTACCTGGAGTTTACCTGGAGTTTAACTGGAGTTTACCTAGTTTACCTGGAGTTTACCTGGAGTTTACCTAGTTTACCTGGAGTTTACCTGGAGTTTACCTGGAGTTTACCTAGTTTACCTGGAGTTTACCTGGAGTTTACCTGGAGTTTACCTGGAGTTTACCTAGTTTACCTGGAGTTTACCTGGAGTTTACCTGGAGTTTACCTAGTTTACCTGGAGTTTACCTGGAGTTTACCTAGTTTACCTGGACTTTACCTGGAGTTTACCTAGTTTACCTGGAGTTTACCTGGAGTTTACCTGGAGTTTACCTGGAGTTTACCTGTAGTTTACCTGGAGTTTACCTGGAGTTTACCAAGTTTACCTGGAGTTTACCTGGAGTTTACCTAGAGTTTACGTGGAGTTTACCTGTAGCTCCGGGGGTCAACGCCCCCCACGGCCCGGTCTGTGACCAGGCCTCATGGTGGAAAGGGTCTGATCAATCAGGCTGTTTTGGATGCATAATGAAGTTATTAAACTGAGTGGGTCATCCTGGTAGGTAATTTACACTGTTTAACAATTGTAGTTATGTTTACGTGTGGCTAAATATACTTACTAGAAATATTGACATGTTGTTTAGTAAGAGTTGAGGTGGTGTAGGAAGGTAATGAGGGAGGGAGAAAGGGAGGGAGGGAGAGAGAGAGGGAAGGAGAGAAGGAGGGAAGGAGAGAGGGAGGGAAGGAGAGAGGGAGGGAAGGAGAGAGGGAGGAGGTGGGGAAAAGAGAAGGAAGGAGGAAGGAGAGATGAGAGAGAGAGAGAGAGAGAGAGAGAGATGAGAGAGAGAGAGAGAGAGAGAGAGGAGGAGAGAGAGGAGAGAGAGAGAGGAGAAAGAGAGAGAGAAGAGAGGAGAGAGAGGAGAGAGAGTGAGAGAGAGAGGAGAGAGAGAGAGAGAGAGAGAGAGAGAGAGGAAGAGAGAGAAAGAGAGAGAAGGAGAGAGAGAGAGAGAGGAGAGAGAGAGAGAGAGAGAGAGTAGAGAGATGAGAGGAGAGAGAGAGAGGGGAAGGAGAGAGAGAGAGAGAGAGGAGAGAAGAGATGAGAGAGCGAAGAGAGAGAGGTGAGAGGAGAGAGAGAGAGAGACATCCCACCACCTATAGCAGGAACTTGCACATGCAAGCCTGTAGGCATGTGGGTGACGTTCAAAAGTGAGCCATTGCTAAATGGGAGGTGGACACTAAAAGAAAGTTAGCATCAGGTTAGGGTAGGCTCCAAAACTGGTGGTCCATGGTCAAGGACAGACAAGGTTATCTGCCTGATGAACTTATTCCACCTCTAAATCGACAGGATGGGACCACCTCTACTAGTAGTCAAGAGAAGGCGGACCTCTTTGCTGAACATTTTGCTACCAAAATGCAAAGTTCCTGATCCAGCAAGGGACCCTCCTTGACTAGCTGCAGAACTGTGTCAAAACTGTCAGTGGTGACAATAAGGCAGGAGGAGGTGCATTTCCTTCTTAATCACTTGACCAAGAAAAGGCTGTGGGCCCAGACAAGTTGAGCCCAAGATTGTTGAGAAGATGTGCAGACCAGCTAGCAGCACCTCTAACTCGCATCTTTCAGCACTGCCTAGTACAGTGTAAATGACCCTCTCTATGGAAAGAGGCAAATGTAGTCCCTGTTCACAAAAAGAAGAGCAGAGCAGAAATCAGCAACTACAGACCAGTGTCACCCCTGTCAATCACTGGTAAGATCCTTGAGACAATAATCTAAAGACAAATGACAGATTTTTTTGACAAATCACTCACTACTTTGTGATCGCCCAATATGGCTTCATGAAAGGTTTACTCTGCTGCTGATTCGTTGTTAAACCTCTCCACTAAGTGGCACCAGTCACTGGATGAATCCAAAGTCAGCTGTGTGGTAGAAATGGACATTGCTGGCGCTTCGACCGGGTGTGGCACCAGGGCCTCTTAGCAAAACTTCAAGCACTGGGAATTGCAGGCTCTACGCTATGTCTCCTCAGTGATTTCCTTCATGGTAGATCTCTAAGTGTAGTTCTTAATGGAACAGAATCAGCAAGACATCCTATTGGGGCAAGTGTTCCACAAGGAAGCGTGCTGGGTCCACTGTTATGGAATGTCTACTTCAACGACCTTCTTCATCTCATCCCAGAATCACATGCATATGCAGACGACTGTACACTGACATTCACTTATCCAAGAGAAGAAATGCCAGCTGCTCTAAGCTACATCAATCACCAGCTGAGAGCTATGTCAGCTTGGGGAAATAGATGGCAAGTAACATTTGCACCTGAGAAAACGCAAATGATGATCGTCTCTAGGCACCATGATGGTAATGCAGGTGCAGTAGTAAGGATGAATGGGAGGGTGTTGGCACCTGGAGAAGTTGATATCCTTGGGGTGAAATTTGACTCTAAACTGACCATGAAGAACCATGTAAATTTTACAAACAAGGCAGCCAGGAAGCTTACAGCACTTCGCCATATCTCGCATCTGCTTGACAGCAGGAGTTGCAAGATTTTGTACGAGGCACAAGTACGCTCACACCTTGAGTATGCTCCACTTTCTTGGTTTGCCTGCCCCCCCCCCCCTTCTCATCTGCGACTGCTTGACAGAGTAGAGAACAGAGCAAGACGTCTCATCTCTTGCCTGGACCAATCCTGGATAGATCTGTCATTTCAGCTGAGTCTTCAACCAGGAGGTATGTGGGTGGCCTTACTGTTATGTACAAGGCCAATATTGTCAAAGTACCACACTTGGATCCACTTCGAGGACAGCGTGAAACAAACTTCTATACCACAAGACGGGCAGAAAGCCCGTCTTGTGCCCTTCTCCAGAACATCACTCCATCTGAGATCATACATACCCAGGATGACTCGAGTATGGAACACATTCGTACAGCATAATGATGTCAACGAGATAAAGTCAGTTGATCAGATTAAAATGCTGGCCCACAGATGGCTCCAACTTCACCCTGTTCCCTACTTGTATGTCTCATAACAATAAAAATGCTTTCAAATGAGCTGATGTAGGTAACAGCTCTTAGTTTGCCAATAAAGCTAGGGATCCTTAACCTGTAAATAGATTGTCAATAAAGCTAGGGATCCTTAACCTGTAAATAGCTTGTCAATAAAGCTAGGGATCCTTAACCTGTAAATAGCTTGTCAATAAAGTAGGGATCCTTAACCTGTAATATAGCTTGTCAATAAAGCTAGGGATCCTTAACCTGTAAATGAGCTTGTCAATAAAGCTAGGGATCCTTAACTGTAAATAGTTGTCAATAAAGCTAGGGATCCTTAACCTGTAAATAGCTTGTCAATAAAGCTAGGGATCCTTAACCTGTAAATAGCTTGTCAATAAAGCTAGGGATCCTTAACTGTAAATAGATTGTCAATAAAGCTAGGGTCCTTAACCTGTAAATAGCTTGTCAATAAAGCTAGGGATCCTTAACCTGTAATAGCTTGTCAATAAAGCTAGGGATCCTTAACCTGTAAATAGCTTGTCAATAAAGCTAGGGATCCTTAACCTGTAAATGCTTGTCAATAAAGCTAGGGATCCTTAACCTGTAAATAGCTTGTCAATAAAGCTAGGGATCCTTAACCTGTAAATAGCTTGTCAATAAAGCTAGGGATCCTTAACCTGTAAATAGCTTGTCAATAAAGCTAGGGATCCTTAACCTGTAAATAACTTGTCAATAAAGCTAGGGATCCTTAACCTGTAAATAGCCTGTCAATAAAGCTAGGGATCCTTAACCTGTAAATAGCTTGTCAATAAAGCTAGGGATCCTTAACCTGTAAATAGCTTGTCAATAAAGCTAGGGATCCTTAACCTGTAAATAGCCTGTCAATAAAGCTAGGGATCCTTAACCTGTAAATAGCTTGTCAATAAAGCTAGGGATCCTTAACCTTGTCAAACCCTGTGTAAAAGAGAGAGAGAGAGAGAGAGAGAGAGAGAGAGAGAGAGTGAGAGAGATGAGAGAGAGAGAGAGAGAGAGGAGAGAGGAGAGAGAGAGAGAGGAGAGAGAGTGAGAGTAAGAGAGTGTGTAAAGAGAGAGAGAGAGAGAGAGAGAGAGAGAGAGAGAGAGAGAGAGAGAGAGAGAGAGAGTATAAAACAGTGTTACCACAGTTGTGGACACACTAGACTCACCACCAACACCAACAACACTGTTGCTCTCCTTCTCTCAGGTATTTATTACTCTTCTATATATTTCACAGTTAATATTAAATAATCACAGTAGTAAGTTAGTGCAACACCTTAATAACTTGACCCCAAGTTCAACTTAAACTTAAATAAGTTTATTATGACTCCCACCAACATTAGGAAACAATTGTCATCACATATAAGTAAATAACTTTGTCTAGACACATATACACATAAGTACAATTATCATACGTAATAATATATATGCAAATTACCCCAGGATAACCCAAAAAAAATTACTAATTTCCACTGGTGGTTTAATCTGGTTATTCCATAACCTGTGCCCCAGGCACTGTGACCCCTGTGTGTTTAGCGCTCCCTGTGAATAATAAATAATTGTACTTATGTCTACCTGTACTTCAATAAATTTACTGAGTAGAGGGCAGCTCCAGTTTCTTGGATTAAGAGCCCATCACACTGAAGATAGACACTTTTGACTTGTTTTAGGGTTATCCTGGGTAATTTACATATATATTATTGGGTAGGATAATTGTACTTACGTCTTCCTGTATCTAAATAAACTTATATGGAAGAAAACTATTCATATCCCGACGAAAAAAGTCATTTTGACCTTTTTTTTGGGTTATTTTGGTGGGATAATTATCTTATAAGATAATTCTACATATGTCTACTTGTGTCTAAATAAACTTAATTATTTTGGATGGCCAAAAAGATGGTAATGTGTACATATGCTGCTGTGTATGATAATTTATGTAAATGTATTTATGTGTACCTGGATAAACTTAATCTTTATTATGAGTGGAATGTGTGGCGTGAGAGCCAATCATCTGCTAGTATTGTGACCTGCCTGGCCAATCACGGCAGCCCTAACAAACACGTATGGAATGTAAATAAAGATGTGTGGAATGTAAATAAAGATGTGTGGAATGTAAATAAAGATGTGTGGAATGTAAATAAAGATGTGTGGAATGTAAATAAAGATGTGTGGAATGTAAATAAAGATGTGTGGAATGTAAATAAAGATGTGTGGAATGTATATAAAGATGTGTGGAATGTAAATAAAGGTGTGTGGAATGTAAATAAAGATGTGTGGAATGTATATAAAGATGTGTGGAATGTAAATAAAGATGTGTGGAATGTAAATAAAGATGTGTGGAATGTATATAAAGATGTGTGGAATGTAAATAAATACATGTGGAATGTAAATAAAGATGTGTGGAATGTAAATAAAGATGTGTGGAATATAAATCAAGACATGTGGAATGTAAATAAAAATGTATGGAATATCTTTCATACAAAGACGTATGGAATGTTAACGTAGATGCATGAAATGCAAATAAAGACATATGGAATTTAAACAGACATGTGGAATGTAAATAAGGACATATGGAGTGTACACAGAGATGTGTGGAATGTAAAAAGAGAATCTGCCAGAATTTCCTACTCTATTTCTGCAACACACAAAGCTTCTTATGTGTCATTTGCAACACAGAAGACCTAGAGCTTTCATTCATCTCCCCCTGTGGTTATTTTACATGTTTTATTGCTCATTTGCAATTTTGTCAACATATTACTATACAGTGCTCGTCACGGCATTATGCCGGGTGAGTGCCCCAGCATAATGCCGTGATGAAAAATCAAAGGCCTACCATACAGGGGAGACTTTTTTCATCAGTGCATTCTGCTGGGTAGCAGCCATTAGCATGATGTCACGGCCTGCCACCACACTTCACCTATAGCTTCGGGTGTTAAAGACTTCCTTTTACCCATAATCAAACATGTATAGCCCCAAAACCAAAGGGAACGCTGGACAAAAGATGGGGCGGATGAGAGACGACAGTGCAACACTTCCTCTCACCACGGTAGCCATGTGAGCAATGAGAAGTCACTGTGAAGTGTGGCAGCAGACTGAGACGTCATGGTTACAGCATGATGCCGTAACAAGCACTGTATATCATAATTGCACTTATGTAAACCTGTACCTAAAAAACTTACTTGTCCTCTGAATGGGAAATAACCATCACTTTTATTTTTTTTACCCATTAGTGGATCAGTACTATGTGTAAATTCACTTATTATTTTTCTTGTATGTAATGTACATTAATTATATCAAACTGCATGGAAAGAATGCATGAGTTAAGCATTGTCCATCACCTGAAAATGATATTAGAAAGCAAATTTTCTTGACAAAATAATTTGTTTTGTGTGTTTCAGATTGTCATTGCAATGGAGACTTGGACTGTTTTAAGTATATGTTTGGTGTCCTTGGTGGGGGGAGCCTACACTAAGGACAACACCTGGGGAGGCCTCTACCCACGTGAATCTGTGAGTCGGGAAGTTCGTTCCCTTGATGGATTGTGGAACTTCCGCCTCTCCCCGCTGCAGGACCCAGATAAAGGCTTTAGAGAGGAATGGTATTCCCAACCCTTAGCAAGGTCTGTCTATATCCAGTTATGTTTGAGGTTTATGCTGTGTAATTTCATTCCTGACTTATAATCATACAATGTGATTAATGTATTAATTCATGACACAGTTCATCTTGCTTACCTTCCACAATTCATCTTACTTTCCTTGCATGGTTCATCCCATTCACCTTACAAAATTCATCTCAGTCACCTCACACAGTTCACCTTGTTCAGCATACAGTTGACTCCCGCTTAACGATCATCTCCCAATGCGACCAATTATGTAAGTGCGTTTGTACGTGTATGTTTGGGGGTCTGAAATGGACTAATCTACTTCACAATATTCCTTATGGAAACAAATTCGGTCAGTATTGGCACCTGAACATACTTCTGGAATGAAAAAATATCGTTAACCGGGGGTCCACTGTACTTTTCGTGTCACCCCTCCACAGGCACTACTCAGACACTTCCATCCCATCCTGGAATCTCACACCTCCACACTTTTTTTTAAAGAACATAAAATTATGTAGCAGACTTTGTATACCATTTATGATTTGATGATTTATGATTAGTAAATAAGTCATTCATCTGTATAAATGTATTCTCAGTAAATTTCATGCCCAATTGATGCCTCACTGATAGGAAGTGAAAAATTCTCCCTGTTAGTATTTCCAGAATCTTAAATGTTGAGGAAGTTGATCCATTATTCAGATTTGTATTGAGCATAATTGCAGAAGTCATTATAGATTTTTTGCATTTGTCATATGAGCCATGATTTTTTTTCTCTCATTTATTGTGGATAGTTTTATCACAACTGGAGCTAAATTAATGATTTCTTTCATTGGCAATTACTGGAAGTCTGACTGATCAGTAGCCAGGCCTTGACTAGGAGGTGGGGATCTGGCCTTCACCAATCATTACACTGAATGACCCACACTGGTTTAACACTTTATGAAATACAATCAATCAGTCTTGTTTCTTTTATGACTTATACCAACCTAGGCCATGTGACATGGCGTGATGATACTGGATCTTGGTTTAGGTTTATATATACCGGTTTTCTATTTACAAATAACTCTCATTAGAGAGTGGAAACTCTACATGAGAATTCAGTTCATCCTAGAGCGTTATCAAGTGACTTATAATGTTTCAGGATGGACTGAAATGTCATCTTGTTTACTCTGGAAAGTCTGGGTTATTTGTGAATTGCTCCAGCCACAGTATTGTGACTTTTATTCTTAGATATTTTCTTTTATTTTACTGTATTTATTTATTTTTTATTTATTTATTTATTAATTTGAACATGATACAGAGAAATACAAAGGAATACAGTTATTACAGTGCAACATGCCAAAGCCCCTTGTATGCAGAGCATTATGAGCAGGCTTAAAATTAACTTAAGATTAACTAAGCAATGATATATTCAGTGGTAAAAATATTATTGTAAACAGATAACAATTTAGCACAAATGAGTATTACAAAGACAGGTCATATGATCATTTACTGTGTTGCTGAGCATTCAGTAGAATGGAATATTCTGTTAGGTAATGTAATTAAAAAATAACAAAGTTTGATTGGGTCACAGGTTAGACATTTATGAGATACAATAATGAGAAACATTTATGAGATACAATTTATGAGATACAGTTATTCAGTCTTTATTTAGTTGTGGGTGAGTAAGTGATTTTTGAGAAGAGACTTGAATTTATAAACAGACAGTGTTTCTGTTATATTCACAGGTAATGAATTCCAGATTTTAGGGCCTTTTATGTGCATTGAGTTTTTGCATAGCGTGAGATGGACACGAGGAACATCAAAGAGTGATCTGTGCCTTGTGTTATGGTCGTGTGTTCTGTTGAGGTTGGTAAGAAGATGTTTGAGGGGAGGGTTTATGTCAGAGTTAAGTGTTCTATGTATGTAGTAGGTGCAGTAATAAGTATGGATGTTTTGTATGGTGAGTACCTGGAGTTTACCTGGAGAGAGTTTCGGGGGTCAACGCCCCCGCGGCCCGGTCTGTGACCAGGCCTCCTGGTGGATCAGCCCCTGATCAACCAGGCTGTTGCTGCTGGCTGCACGCAAACCAACGTACGAGCCACAGCCCGGCTGATCAGGAACTGACTTTAGGTGCTTGTCCAGTGCCAGCTTGAAGACTGCCAGGGGTCTGTTGGTAATCCCCCTTATGTGTGCTGGGAGGCAGTTGAACAGTCTCGGGCCCCTGAGACTTATTGTATGGTCTCTTAACGTGCTAGTGACACCCCTGCTTTTCATTGGGGGGATGGTGCATCGTCTGGTGCATCGCTTTAGAGTTTTGAATATTGGTGGAGTGTGCTGCCTGTTGTGGGAATTTGTTATCATTCTGACTACAGCTTTTTGTTGAGTAATTAATGGTCTGAGATGGTTTATTGTTGTTGAGCCCCATGCACAAATTCCGTATTATTGTGTAGTTATCAAGATACAGCAGGTCCCGGTCTTTTGAATTCCCAAGGTTACACACATTTGGCCAATACGTAGAGAACACTTGGGAATCAATTAGCATTTTACACCTACCAAGCTGCAGTGTGATTATGTCAAACATAATCAACCTTTGTATTATTGACTTCCTGTACTAACAACTTGCTTGTAAACAGAGGATTTATAAAAAAAACGGAAAGAGTAGTCAGACATACTGTACAACAAAGCCAGTAAGACTAAGAAAATCGAAGATGTTTGTATTGCAGCAAGATTAGTAACAGATAGTAATGGATAGGTCATTATAGTTGTATTTCATAATCTTGTGTTTTTGCACAGCTTCAGTATTATGATTATCTTGTGTATTACAGACAGGTTCAGTGATATCCATGGCCGTCCCCAGCAGCTACAACGATGTGACTCAGGACAAGGCACTTCGCGACCATATTGGCTGGGCATGGTAAGCTGATGTAATTTGCTCATCATAGTAATATTTTTGTTTTGTCAAGTATTTAGTGAATCAAGATAAAAGTACATGTAAAGGCATTAATAGGAAAATTAAAATAAATGTACTGTACTATTATCAAAAATTATTTTTGTGAAGTATGGTTGTTTTCAAAATGTAAATAAATTGGTTCATTATTTTTCAAATTATCTTGGTTAATTAAACATTTTCTTGAAGATACCTGCAAAGTGTAATCTTTTAAAAAAATATTCTTGCTATGGCCCTCATTATGTAGGGTAAAACACTGTAGACATGAAGAATGTTACTACAGTTTTTTGTTTACAAGTGCATAGGTTTATTTTCTTTTCCTTTACTGCAGTTTTAGTACTATGCTTTTCCTGCTCAGATACAGTGGTACCCTGAGTTTTGAACTTTCTTTTTTCCAGAAGGCTGTTCGAGTGCCGTTACCAAACTAACTTTTTCCCATAAGGAATAATGTAAATTAGATTAGTCCATTTCAGACCCCCAAAAATACACTTACTTAAGCACTTATAATAATACACTTGCATAATTGGTCGAGTTGGGAGCAGTTCAAAACTCGGGATACCACTGTAATGTGTTTTATTGTAATTGGTTATGACTTTACCTTGTGCATTATATACAGCATCTTTTTGACAATTTTCCATTTTTAAACATTAATATATATTAAAAATATGCCTGATGACACACAATACAATTTTCTCTCTTGTTTTAGGTATGATCGTACATTCTTTGTTCCTACAAGATGGCAGACGGACAAACTAAGAGTAGTGTTACGTCTTGGGTCTGCTCACTATAATTCAATTGTTGTGAGTATACTACCACCATAGAAAATTATGTTGCCTGATCAGATGAATGAGAGTGGCCTGAATTTCTCAGTCTGATAAATAAGTGGTCAGATAAGTGGGTGTAGGAAGGCATTATGTTCTTATTACCATCAGTAAAGTTCAGTTTGTCTTCTCACTTAAAGTTAATTAAACCAAAAAAATATTAATGTTTACATATAAAACACTAATAGCCTGCATTATTTTTCAGTACCTCAATGGTCTCTCTCTGACCTCGCATGAGGGAGGTCACCTTCCAATTATGGCAGAGATAACCTCAGGTTTGGTGTATGGGAGAGAGAATCTTATCACAGTGGCTATCAACAACACACTCACACCTGAAACGATACCCCAGGGTAGTATTACTTACCATGATAACCCTACAAGGTAAGAGCTCTAAAGTTAAAAACCCAAGCACTGTATAGAAAATGCCATTGTGTGTATATATAGCTTGAGAATGCAAAATGCGGACTGTGGCACATTTAACTGTCGTATCCGCATGCCTCTGGCAAGACAGTGATAGTGTGAATGATGGTTAAAGTGTTTCTTTTTCGGGTCACCCTGCCTTGGTGGGAGATGGCCAGCGTGTTAAAGAAATTGTTTCTGTTCAGTGGATGATTTGAAATGTAATGTTTGTGCTGCAAAGACAGCAAGGGAATGAGTGATGGTGAATGTTTTTTTCTCTGCATTAACCTGCCTTGGTGGGATAAAGTCAGTTTGAAAAATTATAATTTTTGCAGGTTTATTATACTGCATTTTGCATTCTTGAAGTGGTTGGAGCTTTCTACTGTATTTTGTGAGACTTAATTTTTTAATTCTTGTCATAATTTGTGAACATCAGAAATATTTACATTGTTTGCTCCTGTGGTGAAGGAAGGCTACTATAACCAAGCAGCTTATTAGCTGTGCATATCTCAGCTTCAAGAATAAAATCTAGTCAAGTGTGTATGCACAGAGAAGCTTTGCCATGTTTTTATAATTTACTTTAAAATTAAGATTGCACAGTGAGATAAGTCTTGAATAATTCTCTGTTCCTCAGATATCCACCAGGCTACTTTACACAGTCGTACAACTTTGACTTCACAAACTATGCTGGTCTTCACCGTCCTGTCTACATTTACACAACACCTCCGACGTACATTGATGACATCTTGGTGACCACCGATATTAATGGATCTGATGGTAAGGGCATTGCCAAGAGCAAGATGAATTTGTTAAATTATCACATTTTTTAACTTGCAGAGTTGTCATATAGAAGAAAATATGTTCCTTGTGTGTTGTAAAAGTATTGTACCGTAAGGGCTCTGTCACTAATAAATAGAATTTCTTTCATAGTTCAAAATTCAGTACAAGTAATTTTATTTCATATTAGGAGCGTCAAAAGCCTCATTGCACGTAAGATCATTTTACTTTCAAAGAGGAGTACCTTAATGATAGTGTAGGGCTTTTGTTACTAAGGATTTGGAGCTTTCATCCTCTTCCTTGGATCAAACCTGATTACTTCCTGTTCTCTGGGTGCTTTCAAAGAATCTAGCAGTAATGATAATATAAGTAAATACAGTCAACTTAGTAGTGTACTTGTTCTTCCATTGTAGCATAGAGATCAAATATATTAACTAAAGACTAAGTTGTAAACAGTGGATTTTCAGCATTTGTAATTAATGTATATTTATTTCCTGTATCTTAGGCATCATTAGCTACAATATTACAACTGCTACAAGCCAGATGGGACCCAAGAAGAAGAAGCAGTCTGATAGTGTTGGTTGTTCCATTAAGCTACTCAATAATGATGGTGACCACGTTACAAGTGCCATGGGTTGTCAAGGTTCTATTATGGTTGTGAATGCTAGTTTCTGGTGGCCCTACCTCATGTCTGACAACCCAGGATATTTGTACACTCTAGAGGTGAACCATTTATATTTTTATTGGTAATGTTTTAAGTGTTAATGCTGCTTATTACATGGCTGCAAAGGGTCAGCTATCTAGTTCACTGTCTTAGTGGCTTACCTGATTTTGGACAGTTTTGTCATTCTTGAACTTTTCCTACTACCATTATCTCCATCTTCTTATTCTCCATCTTCACCTTAATTACAGTATATATCCTTTTTCTATTCCATTCATTTATTTTCTTGTGCTGATATCACATTTTAAAATTATTATTTTTTATTATCACACTGGCCGATTCCCACCAAGGCAGGGTGGCCCGAAAAAGAAAAACTTTCACCATCATTCACTCCATCACTGTCTTGCCAGAAGGGTGCTTTACACTACAGTTTTTAAACTGCAACATTAACACCCCTCCTTCAGAGTGCAGGCACTGTACTTCCCATCTCCAGGACTCAAGTCCGGCCTGCCGGTTTCCCTGAACCCCTTCATAAATGTTACTTTGCTCACACTCCAACAGCCGTCAAGTATTAAAAAACCATTCGTCTCCATTCACTTCCATCAAACACGCTCACGCACGCTGCTGGAAGTCCAAGCCCCTCGCACACAAAACCTCCTTTACCCCCTCCCTCCAACCTTTCCTAGGCGACCCCTACCCGCCTTCCTTCCACTACAGACTGATGCACTCTTGAAGTCATTCTGTTTCGCTCCATTCTCTCTACATGTCCGAACCACCTCAACAACCCTTCCTCAGCCCTCTGGACAAACAGTTTTGGTAATCCCGCACTCCTCTAACTTCCAAACTACGAATTCTCTGCATTATATTCACACCACACATTGCCCTCAGACATGACATCTCCACTGCCTCCAGCCTTCTCCTCGCTGCAACATTCATCACCCATGCTTCACACCCATATAAGAGTGTTGGTAAAACTATACTCTCATACATTCCCCTCTTTGCCTCCAAGGACAAAGTTCTTTGTCTCCACAGACTCCTAAGTGCACCACTCACCCTTTTCCCCTCATCAATTCTATGATTCACCTCTTCCTTCATAGACCCATCCGCTTACACATCCACTCCCAAATATCTGAATACATTCACCTCCTCCATACTCTCTCCCTCCAATCTGATATCCAATCTCTCATCACCTAATATTTTTGTTATCTTCATAACCTTACTTTTTCCTGTATTCACTTTTAATTTTCTTCTTTTGCACACCCTACCAAATTCATCCACCAATCTCTGCAACTTCTTTTCAGAATCTCCCAAGAGCACAGTGTCATCAGCAAAGAGCAACTGTGACAACTCCCACTTTATGTGTGATTCTTTATCTTTTAACTCCACGCCTCTTGTCAAGACCCTCGCATTTACTTCTCTTACAACCCCATCTATAAATATATTAAGCAACCACGGTGACATCACACATCCTTGTCTAAGCCTACTTTTACTGGGAAATAATTTCCCTCTTTCCTATGTACTCTAACTTGAGCCTCGCTATCCTCGTAAAAAACTCTTCACTGCTTTCAGTAACCTACCTCCTACACCATACACCTGCAACATCTGCCACATTGCCCCCCCTATCCACCCTGTCATACGCCTTTTCCAAATCCATAAATGCCACAAAGACCTCTTTAGCCTTATCTAAATACTGTTCTCTTATATGTTTCACTGTAAACACCTGGTCACACACACCCCCTACCTTTCCTAAAGCCTCCTTGTTCATTGCTATCCTATTCTCAGTCTTACTTTTAATTCTTTCAAATAACTACCATACACTTTACCAGGTATACTCAACAGACTTATCCCCCTATAATTTTTTGCACTCTCTTTTGTCCCCTTTGCCTTTATACAAAGGAACTATGCATGCTCTCTGCCAATCCCTAGGTACCTTACCCTCTTCCATACATTTATTAAATAATTGCACCAACCACTCCAAAACTATATCCCCACCTGCTTTTAACATTTCTATCTTTATCCCATCAATCCCAGCTGCCTTACCCCCTTTCATTTTACCTACTGCCTCACGAACTTCCCCCACACTCACAACTGGCTCTTCCTCACTCCTACAAGATGTTATTCCTCCTTGCCCTATACACAAAATCACAGCTTCCCTATCTTCATCACCATTTAACAATTCCTCAATTTATCCTCCTCATATATGTGAGTTTATACATTCCAGTCTCTAATAACGTGAGAATTGTATTCCATGTTTAAAGTTTCTTTAATACCATTATTAGCTTTAAACTTTTATCATAGTTACCAGTGTCGCATGCTGTAAGGAAGCAGTGTGTTTTTCTGGAGCTTTAAATTGTGCATTGTAGTGAGAGGCTGCAGTAATCTCACCAGTACTGATGATCTCATCATGAGGGGGTGAGGGTGGATACCCATTGATCCACCAGTGATGAACAAGTATTGTTGGAAAAGAGGGTCTTTGGTATACTGTTCCATCATTAGAAACACAGCAACAAACTTGGTAATAATTTGTTTATAGAAAATTCTTTGTCACAGGTGGCAGTATCAGATGATGCTGGAAATATTGATCAGTACCCCCAAAAAATAGGCATTCGTACTGTTAGCTGGAACTCAACTTCTCTTATGATTAACAACGAACCGGTGTACCTTCGAGGCTGTGGCAAACATGAAGATTCTGATGTAAGTCTTTGGATAAGCATTTGTAAACTTCTTTTCTAATATTGTATTAAACTTTTTAAATAGATGTCACCATTGATATTTGTTTTCAGATTAGGCTTTTGATGGGCTTGTGATTAGGTAGTTACATGATGGTTCTTGGAGAGTAGTAACCAGAGTAAGCAATGAATTCTGATGAGATATTCTAAGATGCCAAGGAGACCCCCAAGTTCATACCATTAGGCCTGAGAATGCAAGTCACTGCTTGTATTGCTGTACATAATTTCATTTAAGCAGTAATTGGTAGATAATAGTATATAGCAGTGGGACTGCAGCTTTGGTTGTAGACGGAAATCTTATTGGGCATGTAAGTGCAGGTCCTGTATTAGTATTTGTCTACAAAATTTAATATGTAATAGGTTTTTCAGTTTTGTAATGTATATACATCAAACAAGGGAGAAGGTGGCGATTCTTGTGCAGTAGAAAACAGTGTATACATGCAACGTAAGAGGCAGTTTTTTATAAAACCACAATAATGGCATCCCAATTTATGATAACTTGTTTTTAACACGGTGATTGTCTCCCACCAAGGTAGGGTAACTCCCTCAAAAAAAAGTCTCCACTCAGATTTAAAATTTTACACACATCTGCTGGATGCTGAAGCCCCATCTCCAACCTATCCTGGGATAACTCCTAGATTTATAATTTCTTCTTGTTATCCTGTTTATCATCCTTTCTAGATGGCCAAAGCACCTCATCAGTGCCCTTCTTCTTCCTCTGAATTACACTTTTTTGTTGCCTCCACATTGTTTTTTAATCTCAGCACTCATGATTCTTTGCATAATATGCATGCCACATATTTCTCTCAATTATGAAATCTTCACTAACTCTAACATCTTTGCTGCAAAGTTTGAATCTCATGCCTTTTACCCAGGGAAACATGGTAATTCTTACCTTGTATAAGTGTCATTATCTTCAGTCAGATATCTCTTCCTAGAACCTTAGCATGCACTTCTTTTACAACTAACTATTTAAAAAGCCATGATGACATTACACATTCCTGTCTAAGGCCTACATTTGCTGGTTCCCTTTCTTACAAACCCTGACCTGTGTCTCACTCTATATAAATACTATTTATTGTTTTCATTAACCTACTACCTATTCCATATATCTTCAAAATATGCCACATTGCTTCCCTATCCACCCTTTTGTATGCTGTTTCTCAGCATATAATTCCTAACCCATATGCAAAGATTGTGTCTCCACATCTCTTACTTTTCTTAAACCCTTCTTGTTCCTTTGAAATCATACTTTCTGTTTATCCCTAATTCTTCAATAATAATTGAACCATACATTTAATTGATATACTCAATAGGCTTTTTCCCTTATAATTCTTGCACTCTCTCTTGTCCCCTTTTCCTTGTAAAGGGAACTATACATGCTTTCTGCCAGTCTTCGAGTACCTTCTCATCTTTCATGCATATATTGAACAAATGCATCAGCTACTCCGAAACTGTATCCCCACCTGTTTTTAGCATCACCATCTTAATTCCGTCTGACCCAGCTGCTTTATCCACTCATTCTATCCACTGCCTCATACACTCTCCCCCTCATTGCAGATCCGAGGAAAGGGGTTAGACTACCCTCTCATAGTAAAGGACTTCAGTTTATTGAAGTGGCTGGGAGCAAACAGCTTTCGTACTTCTCACTACCCCTATGCTGAGGAGATCATGGATATGGCTGATCAGGAAGGAATTATGATTGTTGATGAATGTCCAGCTGTTGGTCTCAGGTACTAATTGCTATTGTTTCCAGCATTTTTCTTGACTTCCATGGATTTATAACTGTAATGTATTGTGTGTTTGTCCATAAGTGTGATAATTTCCATGCTTCTCAATAGTGAATATTAGTAGGTAAACAAAATTAATGCACATTCACTAAAGAGATAAAATGTAAGTCCCAGTTCGTTAAAATATTCTGTTAGTTGGTCTTAATAATTTGTAATTAAGAAGGATTTGATATCATTCTTGCTATTCATTCTGTTGACACAGTAATAATTTTTCTACTCAGTGGTTTTGATGAGCCATTAATGAATAAACACATATCTGTGATGCAAGAGCTAGTACGTCGAGACAAGAATCGACCCAGTGTCATCATGTGGAGTGTCGGTAATGAGCCGCAGTCAAACCAAGAAGCTGCCAAGGACTATTTCAGGTTGGCAAATTCTTTTATTATAACTAAATTTTCTAATTTCTTATGTGTAGTAGACAGAACTGCAGGGTTTCTTAAAGAAAGAGATATATTTTTTAATGACATTTTTGCTTTTTTTTTTTTACATTGAATGATGGTAGATTCATCATTAGTACTATTGGTATCAAATTGGGACAAGTAAAACAAATGGTTTTTCTTCCCTTATACACACATTTGTTTTTTCTAATCCCTTTTTGGAAAGGAAGGGGAGGAGGGGCCTTAACCCCTTTAGCATTAGATCCCCTGATCTGAAAATTGCTCTCATGGTTGAGGAATTTTCCCACCCCCCAAAAATTATTTTTTCTTATGAAATGGTAGAGAATCTTTTTCCAAAAGTAATGAAACCTAAAGTACAAAATTTGATGGAAAACTTACAGAATTAAGCTTTCTCTGTGATATTTACGCATTGGCGATTTAGCCCCAGCGAAATAAGTCACTTTGTCTGACTTTTTTGCATTATCCTTGGTTCTCTACAAGAGTTACAGAGACTAGTGTTTCCCTACTAGACCACATCTGGACCAACACCATATCCCCATTAAAATTAGGCATATTCACAGATAATACCACAGATCACTACCGTACCTTCCTCATCACAAACCTTGGCAAATTACCCCAAGACGCTACTAAAGTCACTTTCAGACTTCACAATGAGGCAGCCATTAATAACTTCACAGCAGCAGCGACAAACATTGACTGGCACACTGAGCTAGAAATCTATACAGATATTGACGAATGTATTAATAATTTTCTAAAAAAGACCCAATACCTTTATAACAAGCACTGCCCCCAAAAAACTAATTAGATGACAGCTAAGATATCACAAAATAGCGAAATTGAATTAACAAAACCAGATGAACCCCAACTCCCACCAACTGAAACAGCGAACAGACTCAATAATTTCTTCTCCACTATAGGAAAAAACCTTGGCAATAAAATCCCAAGCTCAGATACCCCACCCAATGACTACCTCACTGGCAACTACCCGAACACACTGTTCCTAACTCCGACTAACCCTACTGAAGTCTCCCTTATAATCAACACACTAAAAAACAAGACAGGAGATTTAAATACCTTACCACCCTTTATATACAAAAAAACACCACAAGTACTATCACCAATCATTGCAACACTCTTTAACAAATCCATAGAATCTTCTACCTTCCCTACAGTTCTCAAAATAGCAAGGGTCACCCCGATCCATAAAGGAGGAGACCAAACAGACTTGAATAACTATAGGCCAATATCCAACATTTTTTTTTTTGTTTTTTTCAACAAGTCGGTCGTCTCCCACCGAGGCAGGGTGACCCAAAAAAGAAAGAAAATCCCCAAGAAGAAAATACTTTCATCATCATTCAACACTTTCACCACACTCACACATTATCACTGCTTTTGCAGAGGTGCTCAGAAACAACAGTTTAGAAGCATATACGTATAAAGATACACAACATATCCCTCCAAACTGCCAATATCCCAAACCCCTCCTTTAAAGTGCAGGCATTGTACTTCCCATTTCCAGGACTCAAGTCCGACTATATGAAAATATACATACACCCTCTCTCTAAAATCTTCGAAAAATTAATTCATAAGCGAATCTATTCCTACCTCATCTCCCACAACATACTCAACCCCTGTCAGTTTGGGTTCAGGCCTAATAAAAATACTAATGATGCTATTATACACATGCTAGAACACATATACACTGCAATAGAGAAAAAAGAAGTCCCACTGGGGATCTTCATAGACTTATGTAAAGCTTTTGATACAGTTGACCATGACTTGCTCCATATAAAATTGTTGCACTACGGTATAAGAGGGCACTCCCTCAACTACTTAAAGTCTTACCTCAGTAACAGAAGCCAATATGTGTACACAAACGGGGCAAACTCTTCAGCACAGCCAATTACAGTTGGTGTCCCACAGGGAAGTGTCCTAGGCCCTCTTCTCTTTCTCATATACATAAATGACCTACCAAATACACCGCAACTACTCAAACCCACACTATTTGCAGATGACACTACATACGTCTTCTCTCACCCGAGCCCAGTCACGGTAGCCAATACTGTAAATACCGAATTACAGAAAATATCTACCTGGATGAGTACTAACAAACTTACTCTAAACATTGACAAAACCTACTTCATTCAATTTGGTAACAGAGCTACAGACGTCCCTCTTAACATAAAGATAAACGGATCACCTATCACAAACCTCAGAGGGAAAATTCTTAGGAATCCACCTTGATAATAGACTCAAATTTCAAACACATATACAACAAATTTCCAAAAAAATTTCCAAGACCGTAGGCATACTATCGAAGATACGGTACTATGTTCCACAGTCAGCCCTCCTGGCCCTATATCACTCACTTATTTACCTCTATCTCACCTATGGAATTTGTGCATGGGGCTCAACAGCAATAAACCATCTCAGACCATTAATTACCCAACAAAAGGCTGCAGTCAGAATGATAACAAATTCCCACTACAGGCAGCACACTCCACCAATATTCAAAACTCTAAACCTACTCACCATTCAAAACATCCGTACTTATTACTGCACCTACTACATTCATAGAACACTTATTTTTTTTTATTAACACACTGGCCGATTCCCACCAAGGCAGGGTGGCCCGAAAAAGAAAAACTTTCACCATCATTCACTCCATCACTGTCTTGCCAGAAGGGTGCTTTACACTAGTTTTTAAACTGCAACATTAACACCCTTCCTTCAGAGTGCAGGCACTGTACTTCCCATCTCCAGGACTCAAGTCCGGCCTGCCGGTTTCCCTGAATCCCTTCATAAATGTTACTTTGCTCACACTCCAACAGCATGTCAAGTATTAAAAACCATTTGTCTCCATTCACTCCTATCAAACACGCTCACGCATGCCTGCTGGAAGTCCAAGCCCCTCGCACACAAAACCTCCTTTACCCCCTCCTCCAACCTTTCTAGGCCGACCCCTACCCCGCCTTCCTTCCAACTACAGACTGATACACTCTTGAAGTCATTCTGTTTCGCTCCATTCTCTCTACATGTCCGAACCACCTCAACAACCCTTCCTCAGCCCTCTGGACAACAGTTTTGGTAATCCTGCACCTCCTCCTAACTTCCAAACTACAAATTCTCTGCATTATATTCACACCACACATTGCCCTCAGACATGACATCTCCACTGCCTCCAGCCTTCTCCTTGCTGCAACATTCATCACCCATGCTTCACACCCATATAAGAGCATTGGTAAAACTATACTCTCATATATTCTCCTCTTCTGATATAAACCCTCCCCTCAAACATCTTACCAAACCTCAACAGAACACACGACCATAACTCAAGGCACAGATCACCCTTTGATGTTCCTCGAGTCCATCTCACGCTATGCAAAAACTCAATGCACATAAAAGGCCCTAAAATCTGGAATTCATTACCTGTGAATATAAAAGAAACACTGTTCTTTAGGATGTGAATATTCATTCTTTTACTGAATTTCTTACATTTAATAGGTAAATTATTTATTACCATGAATCTTAAATATTCACAGAGAAAATAATTACAAAGATCTTTTGATCTTCCTGTAAACTTTAACATAAGAAATACAGTTAACCCTCGAACAACACGGGTTTGAACTGCACTGGTCCACTTGTATGCTAGTTTTTTTCAATAAATGTACTGGAAAATTTTTTGGACAGAAAACGTTAGGTATGTCATGAATACATAAAGTGTATGTAGATACTAGTCTATTTTATCATTTACTACAATAAGATGTACACAAATCTGTTATTAAAAGTTAAAATTTATCAAAACTTAGACAAACAATTACAGATCGTACATGTTCCACTCACAGGCGAGAGATGTAAACAAATGTAAAGATGCTGTAATATAATAATATAATAATTTATTATCATAACTAAGCACTAAATCCACAAAGGCCAATAATATAATAATTATATAATATAATAATAATAATAATAATAATAATAATAATAATAATAATAATTACTACTGTCCTGCAAGTGAGTGTAAAACGAAAGCCTGTAATTCTTTTACATGATGGTAGGATTGCTGGTGTCCTTTTTTTGTCTTGTAAACATGCAAGATTTCAGGTACGTCTTGCTACTTCTTCTTACACTTAGGTCACACTACACATACATGTACAAGCATATATATATGTACACACCCCTCTGGGTTTTCTTCTATTTTCTTACTAGTTCTTGTTCTTGTTTATTTCCTGTTATCTCCATGGGGAAGTGGAACAGAATTCTTCCTCCGTAAGCCATGCGTGTTGTAAGAGGCGACTAAAATGCCGGGAGCAAGGGGCTAGTAACCCCTTCTCCTGTATATATTACTAAATGTAAAAGGAGAAGCTTTTGTTTTTCCTTTTGGGCCACCCTGCCTTGGTGGGATACGGCCGGTGTGTTGAAAGAAAGAATAATAATAATAATAATACAGTGGACCCCCGGTTAACGAACTTTTTTCATTCCAGTAGTATGTTCAGGTGCCAGTACTGACCGAATTTTTTCCCATAAGGAATATTGTGAAGTAGATTAGTCCATTTCAGACCCCCAAACATACACGTACAAACGCACTTACATAAATACACTTACATAATTGGTCGCATTTGGAGGTGATCGTTAAGCGGGGGTCCACTGTACTAATATATTTTTACAGATTGTACATGTTCCATTCACAGTCGAGAGAATGTAAGCATATGTAAAGATGCAATATTAAATCATAAATAAATATGAATTTCTTTTTTACATTATTTTTTTCATTTTTGATGTCTAGTGTTAGTAATATGTATAATGTCTTACCTGGAGTTTACCTGGAGAGAGTTCCGGGGGTCAACGCCCCCGCGGCCCGGTCTGTGACCAAGCCTCCTGGTGGATCAGAGCCTGATCAACCAGGCTGTCAGACAAAGGATGTAAACTTATGGTATCATTAAATACAGTACAGTACTGTAAATGTATTTTCTCTTCCTCATGATTTTCTTAGTTACATTTTCTTTTCTCTAGCTTAATTTATTGTAAGAATGCAGTATATAATTTGTAGATGAATGGTTCAGAGAACCGACATGTTGATAAATTAGACACATGTGCAACTCTTGGGTATCTTTATTGAGGAAACGTTTCGCCACACAGTGGCTTCATCAGTCCATACGTAGGAGAAACTTGAAGAACAGGAGGAGAATGATGGACTGAACACATCGACTCAAGGTTGAGGGACTGATTACCTCATTCTCCTCCTGTTCTTCAAGTTTCTCCTACGTATGGACTGATGAAGCCACTGTGTGGCGAAACGTTTCCTCAATAAAGATACCCAAGAGTTGCACATGTGTCTAATTTATCAACAGTATATAATACATATAACATACAGAATATATGTTAATCGACTGTTTATATTATTGGTAAGGCTTTTGGTCAACAGTACACTATTAGTAGTTAAGTTTTTGAGGAGTCAAAAATTATAAGCAGATTTTCAACTGCATGGGAACTCAGTGTCTCTAACCCCCACATTGTTCAAGGGTCAACTGTACTGTATGAAGATGGTATTCTCCATCATTAGATAAGAGATTGATGCATTACTATAGTTTATCAATAGTTTTCCAGTTCCCAGATGAGAAAAGATTTCTTGTGATCCTCATGAACTAAGCTAGTTGTAAGGAGTGTATACCACTAAATCTTAACAAATATTTGCAGTAATGTGGTTAATTCCACCAAGGAGTTTGACCAGACACGTCCAGTAACCTGTGTTGTTAATGCTGACAAGAGCACCGACCAGGCTGTATGTACAGTGTTAAGCTCACTGTAAAGGGGGAGTGATCATTTTTATTTTGGTTGGTGGTGGATTATTATGCGCTTCATGCTAATTGACAGTGTTAATTGACAATTGTTACAATTATTCATTCATGTTTTAATAAGGCTGTCACTGTGCCTTGCCAAAAATTTTTGATTGGTGGAGGGTTTGTGTGCTTCATATTTGTTAACGCTGACACGTTTCTTAATTTTTTTATGGTTTTAACGGTGCTCGTACCTTGTTTGATGTTATTCTGGGAGGAAAAAGAATAAGATAATACACTATATCAGTGTAAGGAATTTATTGTACAACATTGGCTGTACATTGTACCAGTATTTTCCCAGTGGGGACAAAGCTGTTCTGTAGGAACTGGAAGAAATAAAGGGCAAAATCACTACATTTACTTTACAGGTAAATGTCAGAGGGCGGTATTTATATAACTCCTGATATTATTTATAAATCTGTATAATAAACAATCTTGTCACTTCAGATATTTACATTGAAATTGAGGATATATACAAAATTAATGCTGGATAACATTGTACGTGTATAGTATTTGATGAGCAGCATGATGGGGTGGGCAGTATAATAGACGGTAGTAGTTACTTAGTATGAGGTTTTCAAAGTCACAAATACTGCATACATTTTCTTGCCATTGCAGCTATTTACTATTACTGTGCCTGACCTTTTGAGCAATTCTAGTTGATGGTGCTTTATGTATGAAGATATGTATGCTATTAAGATTGTTCTGTCTGTTTTTAAAGTGGTGTTCAAATCTTATAAACAGTAATACTCTGCCTTTAAATTTGTAGGGGTTAGGTTCCTTGATGTTCCTGCAAATCCAGAGTCCATGGATGTAATACATTTTTTCATGTTTGGGCTCATTCTGTTTCAGAGTTCATCTCTCTTTAAATATTGCTCTAATCTCATTAATATTGACATTAATAATATAAGAGATTTAGGCAGGGAAATCCTGTAAACATGTTGGTTCTCAGTATAGGGGTTGTGCTCCAAAATTAGTGTTGCAGGAGACCCTTCAATGGATGATTAAAGTTTCGGAATTTGGAAGGACCTGAATTTCAAGCTATTTCTGTGTGCTATATAATTTTTTATTCAAATTTCGTAGTGTAGTATTTAACAGACATAAAGCATTAACAAGACTTTTGCCACAGCATAAGATAAAGCTCTTTATTTTCCATAGTTAACATTACCAGGGCTCTGTGGCCTTCACTCTGAATATGAAAACTAATTTGCTGCTCTAACTCCATTTTCTTGCATTTTAGATAAGGCACTTAGAGGATAGTCATCTAGTTCTTTAACCCTTTGAGGGTCGACAGGCCCTCTCCGAGACTCGTTCTCAGGGTCGGCCAAATTTAAAAAAAAAGAAAACTAATTTTTTCTTAGGAAAAGATAGAGAATCTTTTCCCGATCATAATGACACCAAAATTATGAAATTTGATGGAAAACTTGTGGAATTATGCTCTCGTGAAGTTAGCGGTCTCGGCGATGTTTACGCATCTGCAATTTTGCCCACTTTCAGCCCCATTTTCGGCCAATTCCACTGTACTAGTCGACAAAAGACATAAATATTTCGCTAGAACTCCATTTTTTTCTATCGAATGAGTGCAAGAAACCACCCATTTACCAATTTCAACTATCCAGTACAGTGGTCAGAATTTAGCAATTTTGCCAATTTCACACAAATTTCGAAAGATGCCAATTTCCGAATAGGGTTCAGAATAAACAAGAAAGACATTCCTGGCACTAAAATGACATTTCCTCTGTTCATTAGTCACGTCTCAAAGCCCCTCTTACATTCTTTTGCTTTCCACTTTGAATTTTTATTCTCACAAAAAATAGAAGATTTACTGTTATGCAGACTACTGCATTAGTGTAAAAAATGGTATAAATAATATTGGCGCACTTGCAAAAGAATATTAGACTCACCAGTTGACGTGTATTGGACGCTTGGCATGATTTGTTTACTTTTGAACTTTGGTAAAAATTGAACATTTCTGCTAGTTTGAGCTCAATTTCAAGGTACTTTTCATTGTAAAACCAGTCAAAATCATCTCAATTTCTATAATATGTCTTCCATTCTATAAAATGAGACCAAGAAAACTAGAATACAACAATAAATGCCATACGAAAATACAATGCAAAGTTGCTGTTTTATTCCAAAAAAGCGGTCAGTTTTTTTTTCTCATTATGCAATGTGTGCGGCAGGATTTTTTTTATACTGTGCACACTGACCACATAGACCCATTCTTTCATATGTAGGCCTACCAGCTTTCTCCCACTAGATTTGAGGGCGCTAGAATTTAGGCGTACTAGTACGTCAAAAACCCTGGGTCGTAAGCCATACTAGTACGGCCGAAACCCTCAAAGGTTAACATTAATTTAATGCAAAGGTGTATGAGCGTGTTAGATAGGAGTATATGGAGACGAATGGTTTTTGGGACTTGACGAGCTGTTGGAGTGTGAACAGGGTAATATTTATGAAGGGATTCAGGGAAACTGGTTATTATAGATTTAGCCGGACTTGAGTCCTGGAAATGGGAAGTACAATGCCTGCACTTTAAAGGAAGGGTCTGGGATATTGATAGTTTGGAGGGACTTCTAAACTGTCGTATCTGAGCACCTCTGCAAAGACAGTGATTATGTATGAGTGAGGTGAAAGTGTTGAATGATGATGAAAGTATTTTCTTTTTGGGAATTTTCTTTCTTTTTGGGTCGCCCTGCCTCAGTGGGAGGCGGCCGACTTGTTAAAAAAAAAAAAAAAATATGTTTTTGATCCTTTGTGCTCATTCATACTCCATGGGTGAAGTTTATTCCCTGAACCAGAGTGATAAATTAATACTCGATGGGTGAATTTTATTCCATGCTCCAGAATAATAAAGCAAAATAATTACATAGTCTCTCACATTGTTTGTTCATTGTACAATATTTACCAAGGATTCCCATGTACAGTGGACCCCCGCATAACGATCACCTCCGAATGCGACCAATTATGTAAGTGTATTTATGTAAGTGCGTTTGTACGTGTATGTTTGGGGGTCTGAAATGGACTAATCTACTTCACAATATTCCTTATGGGAATAAATTCGGTCAGTACTGGCACCTGAACATACTTATGGAGTGAAAAAATATCGTTAACCGGGGGTCCACTGTATTTCATGAATGCTGTGTTACAAATATTAGTGGCATAAAATTTGAAATCTGTTAGCTATAACTAATTTAAATGTTGCTAGGTTGAACGGGAAAGACTTCACATGTGGAGATTGAGTAGTACATAATAACAGTGTGAAATTAAGGTCTGTAGGACTTTGGCTCTTGATTAAAAGTGCTACAGGTATACTCTTACAGTGAAGCATACAAAATACACTTTTTTTTTTCAACACATTGGGCTCCCCCACTGAGGCAGGGTGACCCAAAAAAGAAGAAATCTATAAAGTTTATCTATTATCTATAAAGTTTATCTTCTTTTTACATTTAGTACATAATGCCAAAATATACTTATGGTAAGAAAATATTTGCTTCTTGCTGCAGTTTATAAAGAAAAGGCAACTACATTTCAAGGATGCATTTGTACATTTCACTGAAGCAGTACTGTAGTAGTGTGGCATTGAGTTTGACTTCTGCAGAGTGACCTTTTTTTACAGCAATGTGGTAAATGCAACCAAAGCTGATGATCCATCTCGCCCAGTCACTTGTGTGCTGTCTTATGACAAAAGTTCGGAACATGCTGTATGTATGCTGAATTATTGTATATATTTGTGCTTGTTCTTATATAATATTTTATTGAAATGTCTGCCTAAAATGATTTTTTCTGTGACTGTGTGTGATTATTTACATAAGACATAGTAGAAACCTTTCTGTTGCATATTACTTAAAGATAAGCTCCAGGGGAATGAGACAATAAAGGAAGTAAGTGAATTAAGTTACAGATTTGTGAAGTGTCTGGTGTTGTGGTTTTTTCCTGTTGTTGGTAATCTCTTGCAATGGCTGCTTCGAATTTCCACGAAGATTATCAGCTGCTCGTCCAGTCACGAGATAAAATATGGACTGTACAATGAATTGGAAATAGAAGCTAGATGGCTTTTTAAGCCATCCTGGATTGAATGGTTCAGGGGATTGTCTTCTTCCAAAATTAGCTCTTCCTTTTTGAGCCTTTATAGATGTAGTCTTGTTAAATTGGCTCTTATACAGGTTGATATGTAGGACACATATGCAACAGTTAGGTACGTATCTTTATTCAAAACTTTTCATCTACACAGTAGGCTTGTTCAGTCGAGTACAGGAGAGCTTAGCGGAAGCAGTAGAGATGTGAAGATGATGTAATCAGTCCATCACCCTTGAGAGTGTAGTTTTGAGGCAGTCAGTCCCTCAACCTAGAGAAGAGTTTTGCTTCATAGTCTGGAACAGTGTGAAGTTTAAGCAGCAGTACAGAGACTTATATACTCTTGGAAGGTGTCTTACTTATCAACTTGTTGGTATTTTATACCATTTTCATATTCAGTGTCAGACACGGCAACACAACGGTGTCATGGTACAGTAAACACCTTTGAAAACTTTTCAAGTGAGAGGGGACAGATTTGAGAGGGACGTTCCCTCTCAGTTATTACCTTCTTTCTTCTAGTGAACTGTATCTCACCTTCAGACAGTATATAAGTCTCCGTACTGCTGCTTAAACTTCACACTGTTCCAGACTATGAAATAAAACTTTTCTCCAGGCTTAGGGATTGACCACCTCAAAACCATGTCTTCAAGGCTGATGGACTGATTATATCATCTTCACATCTCTACTGCTTCTGTACTTGACTGAAGAAGCCTACTGTGTAGGTGAAATGTTTCGAATAAAGATACTTAACTGTTGCACATGTGTCTTACTTATTAACTTGTCAGTATTTTATACTATTTCATAAGCACAGATTTTATTTTAGAGCTTTCCTTTAATGGCCATATATGATCAGTCTCTCTGCCCTTTAATGGAGACTCAGTTTATATGGTATTTTTATTGAAAATGTTTTATTTTGTCTACTTGGACTATCTCCAGTGATCCTTTTGCTCATCCTCACCACTTTTATCTAACCACTTCTACCTTTTTCTCCATGGGGAAGTGGAACAGAATTCTCCCTCCGTAAGCCATGCGTGTCGTAACAGGCAACTAAAATGCCGGGAGCAAGGGGCTAGTAACCCTTTCTCCTGTATATACTACTAAATGTAAAAGGAGAAACTTTCATTTTTCCTTTTGGGCCGCCCTGCCTTGGTGGGATAAGGCTGGTGTGTTGAAAGAAAGAAAGATTTTACTTTTTTCACTCAACTGACAGCCTCACCCTTCCAAGCAGCACTTAATAACCCACACAGGTTCACTTTCCAGATTCACCTCCCTCAACTCACATGGATTTAGTGCTTTCCATGAATCCAGTAGTATAATAATATTTATAATAATACTATTACTATTAATACTGTTAGTACTACTATTAATAATAATAATAATATAATAATCTATAATTGATCTGCAGGTCAGTTGTAAATGCCACCCACATAGCCGACCTGTCTCGACCAGTCACATGTGTACTAAATCAAAATCTTCTTGACTTTGCTGTAGGTTATTAAAAACAACTTGTCAGTGGACTTAGTTTATTAGAGCTTCTGCCTTGTATAGTGACTGAACAACACAAACTTGTATGAGGTTGTACAGTGACTGTTTAGGCAGCACTTGCTTATTAAAGACTATCTAAAACAGCACTAGCTTGTGTCAACACTGTTCACACATCACTAATTTGTGTTTTGCTGCACAAAGACTGTTGAAACAGCATATTTATTTACTGTTGTACTGAAAACATTCCATTCTCATTTTATAAATCAGCACTTAGTGCTTGAGAAAAATATTTTGGTCAAAATTTACAAGAAAATGAGAAACACTATCACAGAGCATAAGACTGACAGAGAAGTGATAGGAGGAGGGAAGAAGAGGACATTTTTTTATGCTTCTGCTCTGATATTCTTTATTAAGTCATAGATATTTTTATGTTGTTCTTTACATTAGCAAAGACAGAGGGTGAACAAGGAGTCGAATTTGTTCAGTTTTTTACTTGTTGAGATAAATAAGATCTGTACATGGTCTCGTGGTAGTTTTGCCCCTCTCTTACGTCCTTCTTATCTTGTATTTACTGCAGTTCTCTTGTTCCTCAGTAAAGTGGTATCTGCTACCAAAGCTGAAGATTCCTCTCGACCTGTAACATGTGCACTTAATCGACCAAAGGACAAAGAACATGCTGTATGTGTATTAAATGTTTGTCTGTGGTGGTTTGACTTGCATGTAGTAACTGCATCATGCATGCCATGTCAGCATTTTCCCCCGCTTTAATTTTTTAACATTTAATGCATGTATGTATAAATGTATTTTTATGATGTGATTTATGTTTCTTCTGAAATATATTATTCTGAATGTTTGAAAATGTTCTTTGTGTGCACATTATACTTACCTTAATTTTAAAGGTGTAAAGTACTTAAATATATGTAATGTTGCTTAAATTACTATGTAGTACAGTGGACCCCCGCTTTACGATCACCTCCCAACGCGACCAATTATGTAAGTGTTTTATGTAAGTGCGTTTGTACGTTTATGTTTGGGGGTGTGAAATGGACTAATCTAATTCACAATATTCCTTATGGGAACAAATTCGGTCAGTACTGGCACCTGAACATACTTCTGGAATGAAAAAATATCGTAAACCGGGGGTCCACTGTATATTAACTTAATGTGTATAATTCATTAAATATGTTTTCATCATACTGCAAAGTTGTAGCACCAAGGAGGGACTGGGAAATGCTTTAAAACTCCAATTAATCTCCATCAGCCAGCCTCCCAAAGCCCCTCCCAAATAAAAATAATAATAATAATAATAGTACATACAGCGGTACCTCGGGATAGGAACTTAATTTGTTTTAGAAGGCTGTTCGAATGCTGATACCGAACAAATTTATTCCCATAAGGAACAATGTAAATTAGATTAATCTGTTTCAGACCCCCAAAAATACACTTACAAAAGCACTTACATAAATACACTTACATAATTGTTCGAGTTTTGAGCTGTTCGTATCCCAAGGTACCACTGTAATGACTCATGAAATCGTAATGACACGATTGCAAACAAACCATACCATGGGCGGGATTGAACCCGCGGTCTGGAGTTTTGAGACTCTCTGACCGCGGGTTCAATCCCGCCCGTGGTATGGTTTACCACTGTAATAATATTAATAATAATACAACTGGAAGACAAGTCTCCAGCCTCCCACCAACCACATTACTACTCCTAAGATCCTCCTTTGTAGAAATTTATGTTCCATCAATGGTACTTCACTTTCCAGTCTTAAAGATTTATTTATTAGCATTATTCCAATAAATATGAATTTCTTACAGTAGTTTTATATCTTATAATGTTTGTAAACTTAGAAAACAATGTCTTGACTATCTGCATATATAATTTTTTCACACTAAATGATCAATATTACATTTTCTTTTTAGCTTTTGTAAGAAAGTGTTATATTAAATTATTCACTTTATCTTCATTAGCTAAGATTCACTTGCAAGTCTAGGACTGGTTTTAAACCAGTACAGTATACATGGACCCCCGGTTAACGATATTTTTTCATTCCAGAAGTATGTTCAGGTGCCAGTACTGACCGAATTTGTTCCCATAAGGAATATTGTGAAGAAGATTAGTCCATTTCAGACCCCCAAACATACACGTACAAACGCACTTACATAAATACACTTACATAATTGGTCGCAGTGGGAGGTGATCGTTAAGCGGGGGTCCACTGTATTTGGAATGTGCAGGTCAAGTTTGATGTTAAGAACACTGCATCATTTGTTAAATTATCATTGGACAAAGATCATTTCTGGCAGTCTCTCTCTCATTATTTCCCACCAAGGCAGAGTTTTCCAAAGAAAATAAAACACATTACCAATCACTCATTTCCTATGTATTTCCAGTATAGTTGTTTATATCAACCCTTTTCATCATTTCATTCTGATCTGTTAGTACAAGCCTATTTATACAAGGGCTTTCTTGTTTTAATATTAAGTTTACATTAATGATTCAATTTAAAGTGACTTTTTGTAATTTGTATTCTCTGAGTTAACATTTTCAAAGGGCACTATAATTTTACCTACGTACTTTATTTCATTTTACTTATAACCCTAATTTCCTCACTGAGCAGCTGTTAATATTATTTGACTGTTCAGGCAAGCAGTCTTGATGTGATCCTGGTGAACCGCTACTACTCATGGTACAGCGACACTGGCCACTTGGAAGTCATCAAGCCACAGACCATCACAGAGTTTACAGAGTGGCACAAACTCCATAATAAACCAGTCATGATCTCAGAGTATGGAGCCGGTTCCATTGCAGGTTTTCATATGGTTAGTCAGCTCATTTTTACATTCTCTTATTTTGATCTTCTGTGTATTGAAGTCTTGAGGATGTATTTCACAAACTTCTCCCATTTTTACTGCCACATACTATTCTCTTTGACTTTATTAACCTCTTTTATTAAATTTTATATTTATTTACTCAGTATGCAAAAAGATTACAGTAAACAGGTATTATCACAATATGCAAAACAACCACTGTGAAAAAATAGTGAACTTCCAAGCACTTTCAGGATTTTTCATGTTATCAAGGATGTGTATATCTGTTATCAGGAAAAATTCCGTATCACTAATTTGGTATGTCTTTGTAAATGTTTGAGCATAGTATTACAGAGTGGTGTCAGCACTAAGTTATGCAGAGAATGTGAAGCTTGGAGGTTAGGTTTGGGGGTCACGAAAAATTTAATTCAGAGGACTGAGGAGGGGATTGTTGAGGTGGTTTGAATGGTTAGAGAGGAGGGAGCAAATTATGATGATTAGATGGGTATAAAAACCTGGAGCAGAGGGGTAGATGTCATCCCAGGAAAGATTGAAGAGAAGGGAAGGTAAAGGAGGTTTTTGAGGGGCTTTAGTATCCAGCAGTCTTGTGTGAGCACATTAGATTGGATTGAGTGGAAGCAAGTGGTTATGATGGCTTGACATACTGTTGGAGTGCGAGCAAGGTATATAACATTTATGGAGGTATTCAGGAAAATAGGTTAGCTGAACTTGAGCCCTAGAGGTGGAAAGTACAGAGCCTGTAGTCTAAAGGAGGGAGGAGGATGTTGAGGTTCAGAGGGTCATCTGAACTGTGACATTAGCATGCTTCTGGCTAGACAGCAACTGAATGAGTGATGATTGATGTGTTTCTTTATTTTGGGTCACTGCATCAGTGGGAGACAGCCCCACTAAGGTAGGGTGACCCAAAACAATGGAAACCCATTCACCATAATTCATTTAATAGCTGTCTTGCAAAAGTCTCTGACTTCACAATTCATATGATCCTCAGCTGCAAGATTACACCCCTCCTTCAGGTTGCAGACACTGTACTTCCCACCTCCAGGACTAATTCAGCCAACTAGTTTTCCTGAATCCCTTCATAAATATTAATTACTTCACATTGCTCACATTCAAACAGATAATCAAACTATAAAAACTACTCTTCTCCACTCACTCTGATCTGATATAAGTGGACCCCTGGTTTATGATATTATTTCATTCCAGAAGTATGTTCAGGTGCAGTACTGACCGAATTTGTTCCCATAAGGAATATTGTGAATTAGACAGTCCATTTCAGACCCCCAAACATACACATACAAACTCACTTACATAAATACACTTACATAATTGGTCGCATTGGGAGCTGATTGTAAACCGGGGTCCACTGTACTCACACAAGCTTGCTGGATGCTTAAGCCCCTAGCACTCAAAACCTCCTTTATCCTCTCCCTCCAACCTTTCCTAGGACAACCCCTAATCTCCCTTCCCTCTACCCCTGATTTATACTCTCAGTTGGTCATCCTAAACTGTTGTCTTAAACAATGCATATCATTGCTTGATTTCTTGGTGAGGCTGACAAAAAGGCTCAATCTGAGGAATTAAAGCAATCCTCTCATTCCCTTCCTTGGATCAAACCTGTTTACTTCTCTTTCCCAGGCACAGTTTAACCTTTACAGATTTAATACTTTCCATGAGTATATAATATGTTTGATTTCTCTGGCATTTCAACAGCAGATCTGTATATTGAATTTTACAGTGACTATTTTTCCCACTTAAGGATCCAGAATTCACATGGACTGAAGAGTATCAGGCTGAGCTGATGATTCAGAACTTTGAAGCTTTTGATGAGCTTCGCAACCAAGGCTTCTTCTTCGGGGAGATGATCTGGAACTTCGCTGACTTTGCTACTCCACAGGGTAAGTGAAACAGCTATATCTGTCACTGCTGGTGTGGCAGTAGCTCAACATACATGATGCACATGTATGTTCTGGTGTAAGGTTGGTGACCTGTGTAAAAAAACGAAATGTTTTTTCTTCAACCCGTAAACGGTCCAAACGTATATATACGTTTTTTCAACATTTGAAAGTATGTAAAAAAAGTAGATCTTTTTGTTTTTTTACATTTGAAAATGTGTAAAAAAAACTTTGATCTTCTTTTTTTTTATGTTACATTTGAAAATATGTAAAAAAAACGTAGATCTACTTTTGTAGCACTACACATGTGAACTTAGATCTGCTTGGACCATTTACGGGTTAAAATTTAAAGAATAATATTTTGAAACCAGAAGCAAGATGTATAGTCAACTAATATATATACACACAGTATATAGATATTTTTAATTAAAAATATTATCTTTGTTTGATTTTTATGTTAATAAAGAATGAAAAGGAGAATACACAAATAACCCGCACATAAAGAGTGAAGCTTACGACGACGTTTCGGTCCGACTTGGACCATTTACAAAGTCACTTTGTAAATGGTCCAAGTTGGACCGAAACGTCGTCGTAAGCTTCTCTTTTATGTGTGGGTTATTTATGTATCATTCCAGTCACGGTATTGTGCCTTTTTTTGTTATGAAAAGGAGAAATGTGTCTTTAAAGATAATTTTTTTGTACTATAAGCAGATCATTAAAGCAACTGTAGAGTGATATTGTTTTACAAAAAGCTATTGAAGGTCTGTTTTTCGACACCATAGGTAACACACGTGTGGCGGGGAACAAGAAGGGAATATTCACTCGTAATCGCCAACCCAAACTGGCAGCTCACCTGCTCCGTTATCGTTACAATAAACTTGCCGATGTCCCATCTGAAGATAAAAAAGAATATATATTTAGGATGTTTAATATATAAATATGCTATTAACAACATTGGACCATCTATTTTCCACATTTCTGGGTTAAGTTTTAAATTAGGGTTGAGTTCTTATCAACTTAGCAGGACCTAAATTTAAATATTAGCATCTGACAGGTGCATTTTTCTCTATAGCAAATTAAGTTTGCAGTTTACGCCATGTTTTACATTTTAAAACTAGTATTCAAAATCCCTGAGTAACGTCATGAACCTAACTGTAATAATTTAATGTAACCAAAAGCCATTTCTAGTTTCCCCGTTGAGTTGAAAGTTAGTGTAAAAAGTCTTGACAGGATAATGCAGAAATAATGGTGCTTAAATAACAAGTACAGACACGTTGATAAATTAGACACATGTGCAACTCTTGGGTATCTTTATTGAGGAAACGTTTCGCCACACAGTGGCTTCATCAGTCCATACGTATGGACTGATGAAGCCACTGTGTGGCGAAACGTTTCCTCAATAAAGATACCCAAGAGTTGCACATGTGTCTAATTTATCAACATGTCGGTTCTCTGAACCATTCATCTACAAGTACAGACACGTTCATGACAACAGACGATAAGTTTATAGCAAAATATGATCAAAGTTGCTGAACCAGTTTTTATTGCAACATTGTACTGTGTGTAGAGCTGTATCAAGTCACAACTTGATACAGCTCTACACACAGTAAAGTGTTGTCCCAGTACAAACTTGTTCACCAACTTGTCTGTCTTCATATTTGCCAACAATATGCCATTTCATTCAGAAATTTGCATAGCAACATATTTTCCTGAATGGCAAATACTTAATTTTCCTGCTGTAATTTTAGCAACACATATTTTGTATTACCATAATGTAAGGCAGCAAGTCTCAAAATTCTATTTGTATTTCATCAACTCTCAGCAAAATACACTTTCATCAGTTTATATGACCTTTAGTTCAATAGACTCTGTTTATCCATTTTATTTAGCCTATCAGGCTCTGTTTTTCCATGTTATTTAGCTCGACATTTTTTTTTTTTCGCTCTGTTTTTCCATGTTATTTAGCTCGACAGGTTTTTTTTTCGCTCTGTTTTTCCATGTTATTTAGCTCGACAGTTTTTTTTTTCGCTCTGTTTTTCCATCTTATTTAAAACTTGGCTATAAATCATACACATACTATAATTCTGTCTAATGTTTTTGAGGAGAACTGTAATATAAATTCTCTGGAGAATGTATTTGCCTGTTAATGGCACATCATTCTAAAATAAGAGTAACAAGAGATATCAGCTCTCCCAAGGAAAAATAGTCCAGTAAAAATTAAGGTTATAAAATTCTTTTATATTTTTGGGTCATAGTTTCATTTTAATGGCTGCTTCTGTTTCTTAAGGATTTTTGTTAATATTGACATCAGTGAAACAAATGTGAGAAATGCATCTTTAGTCTAGAAGAATATTTGATTTAGTAAGTAAGTAAGTTTAGTCAGGTATACACAAATACAGTTACAGAGAATTATGATACATAGCAGCATATGTGTAGAGAACCTGGGATAACCCAAAAAAGTCAGACAGAGTGACTTATTTCCTAATATATGGTATTTTGAAAAGCTAAGTGCATTTTCTATTGAGCAGTTGTATTATATTACATACATACCTGGAGTATACCAGGAGAGGGTTTTGGGGATCTACGCCCCCACGGCCCAGTCTGTGACCAGGCGTCATGGTGGATCACGGCTGTTACTGGTGGCCACACATAACGAACCACAGCCTGGCTTGTCATGTACTGACTTTAGGTGCCTATCCAGCCCTCATTTTGTACATTACTAACCAGTTGTTAGGTTCTTGGACCTAAAGTAAATCAACTGAATAGAGATTAACATTTTAATGAGAAAAATGCAATGTCCACTGACCACCACTTTTCCAGACTGAAAAAAAATAGAAAATACAGTGATCCTTGTTGATAATTTTAAATCACAAATTAACACGTCAAACAAGTTGTGGCAATGCTGTAGTCATCCTTCTATCTATGTTTTTTTTTTTTTTTTTTTTTTTTTTTTCCAACAAGTCGGTCGTCTCCCACCGAGGCAGGGTGACCCAAAAAAGAAAGAAAATCCCCAAAAAGAAAATACTTTCATCATCATTCAACACTTTCACCACACTCACACATTATCACTGCTTTTGCAGAGGTGCTCAGAATACAACAGTTTAGAAGCATATACGTATAAAGATACACAACATATCCCTCCAAACTGCCAATATCCCAAACCCCTCCTTTAAAGTGCAGGCATTGTACTTCCCATTTCCAGGACTCAAGTCCGACTATATGAAAATAACCGGTTTCCCTGAATCCCTTCACTAAATATTACCCTGCTCACACTCCAACAGATCGTCAGGTCCCAAGTATCATTCGTCTCCATTCACTCCTATCTAACACGCTCATGCACGCTTGCTGGAAGTCCAAGCCCCTCGCCCACAAAACCTCCTTTACCCCCTCTTTCCAACCCTTTCGAGGACGACCCCTACCCCTCTTTCCTTTCCCTATAGATTTATATGCTTTCCATGTCATTCTACTTTGATCCATTCTCTCTAAATGACCAAACCACCTCAACAACCCCTCTTCTGCCCTCTGACTAATGCTTTTATTAACTCCACACCTTCTCCTAATTTCCACACTCCGAATTTTCTGCATAATATTTACACCACACATTGCCCTTAGACAGGACATCTCCACTGCCTCCAACCGTCTCCTCGCTGCTGATTCTTTCTCTAGAATGTCTCCAGTTTTTATGGGGTTGATACATGTTGAATCTACCTCAGGTATATCATAACTTGGATATTTACCCATAATAATCCGGGCTGGAAATTCATTTACCACCCATTGGCAGCTACACAGCCCCTCTTGTTGGTAATAGGGTGCTTGTCATTGGTCACTCATGGTAGTTTACAGTGTTGTACCAAAGTGATCATTCCACTCAATGATGGATATTTGAGTGCTGTAGATGAGAGGCCAATGCAGGAAACCAACCAGCATGGCATTTCAAGTTGCTGTGCCATATAATATTGCAGTGATTTTTTTTTCGAGATAGACTTTACTGCCTTAGTATTGCTTTTATTGTATGTACTCTGAAGAGAGTGTTACAAGAAAGTTTGACAGTGGTTGTAGTAATGGAATAACACAGTCATTTTCTTTTCACTGATTTTAGATGTGATGCACCTTTACCTGTACTAACCCTGCTGCTATAATAACCCATGTTACTAATTCTCTTATTACTACTACTATTAAAAGCACTACAACTACTGGTATAAACCTTGGTAATAAATACCGACAAGTTGGTTTAGAAAGACACGTAAGCAAACACTATAACATATTTATTAGAAAACGTTTCGGTCCTGAGACCTTGATCACTTCTAAGTGATCAAGGTCCCAGGACCAAAACGTTTTCTAATAAATATGTTATAGTGTTTGCTTACGTGTCTTTCTAAACCAACTACAACTACTACCTTTTTGTTTCCCCTTCCCACTTCCTGTCCTGCTTTTTGTCTCTGTTCTCATTTTCGCTCATTTGCAACTTTACATTGCTTCAGGACACATGAGATACCACATCAGGTTTCTTCTCATAAGTGTGAGTTTTTTTGTGAATTATTCCACTTATTTTATTGATGGCTACTTAAAAGTCGTACACTTTGGGTGCAGGTGTCTTCATGAAGGTATATTGGCACAATTGTAATTAAATTATTTTTTTTGTATGTGGTATGATGGACGCTTTGAATTTTTACGTTATCTACATATTTTTATATTTCCATTATTGTTGCCGTGGTGTAAGACAATTTTTACTTTGCCTATTTTACTATTATAAAAGCAAAAGAAACCATACTGCCTTTTTCTTATTAAACCCTTCATCATAACACGGCTTCCACTTCAGTAAGATGATAAACTGAATGTTAAATGGGAGGCTGAAGGATTTGATTAATTTGTTCAGTGTTTGTCACAGTGATGTTGCGGCCCTGGAGCAACCTGTTGCTTGTTTAAAGCATTCATTGCTCATAAGATAAAAAAATCTATGGTGATTAATTAAGGTGCCTTAAAATTGGAAAAAATTGCAAGTTTACTCTTCCTTATTTATGGGTTACTGGAGATATTTTTGATCTCAGAGATTAAATAGTTTTAGATAATATATTTAAGAGATTATGTATACTTTCAAGCTAAACAAATTTTTCATTATCATGGAGTTGTGATGAGCTAACAGCAACCGTATTAGAATTACATTGATCTTATTGACAACTGGGACTTTGCAGTGCTGAAATTTTGTTTAAAAGTGTTTGACAGATTTCAATTTACTTAAATATAATATGAAATCAATTACAGTGGAACCTCAAAAATCGAACTGCTCCCAACACAACCAATTATTTAAGTGTATTTTTGTAAGTGCTTTTATAAGTGTATTTTTAAGGGTCTGAAATGGACTAATCTAATTTACATTATTCCTGATGGGAATAAATTCATTCGGTAAAGGCACTCGAACAGACTTCTAGACCGAAGAAAGTTTGATATTTGAGGTTCCACTGTATTACTGACTCGGCTGTTAACTCAATCCATCGCTCCTTACAGAGTACAACCGACCTGGTGCTTGTATGAAGGGTCTCTTCACACGAGCTCGACAACCAAAAATGGCAGGACATTTGATGAGATATCATTACTGGTCACTGGCACAAAAGCTCAATAATGCTACCATTCCTGGGGATGCAAGGAGGCTTTCGCTTTTCTATAAATTATAATGTCACTGTTCCTGTTTAATGTAAGAATGACAACAGAATCTAGTATATATTTTAATTATTTTTATTCTTTTTGATTAATTAATGTCATGATTCAGGTCAGAAAAGAGAAGATGAAGATTTTTAAGATGAATCCTTGCAGATTCATTAAGTAAAAAAATGAGTATATACGTGATAATTATATTTTTTCTAAATGAACTGCAGTAATTATGATCAATGTTAGTTTTAATGCTGTGTTAATGTTGTGATTATTATTTATTGTTATAACTGATGAAGATAGTCTACATAAGGATAGTTTATAAATGTTGTAATAGTTACAACATCAAACTGAGTAAAACATTTCATGTTACAATGTTCACTACACACACTTCTCTCACTTCACATTTTTACTCATCTCTTTCCTTGTTCATCATCATTTTTACAATCACTAGTTCATTTTTAAGAAAATGTTAGACAGGCATTATCCTTCAGGGCATTTGTAAATACAGTGGACCCCCGGTTTATGATATTATTTCATTCCAGAAGTATGTTCAGGTGTCAGTACTGACCGAATTTGTTCCCATAAGGAATATTGTGAATTAGATTAGTCCATTTCAGACCCCCAAACATACACATACAAATGCACTTACATAAATACACTTACATAATTGGTCGCATTGGGAGCTGATCGTAAACCGGGGGTCCACTGTATTAGGATAGCCACAAGTTGCTATCTAGTCACGAACAACAGTCATTATATTCTATACAGTTATGAAGAGAGGTCTGCATGGTTGACTTAGAGTGAACCCTTGGTATAACAGACTAGTGGAGCGAAAGAGCGTCTGTTGCATTAAAATTATGAAATTTATTTTCCATGATGGTAGCAAACAAATGCCTGATGCAGCAACTCGGTCCATCAAATGGGGAACCCACCAGACATCTACCACAAACGAACAAATTCCCCGTGCAGTGGACTTAGCTCTTCAGATCTAAACAATACTAGACACACTAAGAATGAACTATAATGCACTAAAGTAGATTACTTGAAAACAATTAAGAGTTCAAATTATTGTATAGATGTACAGTACAGCAATTTTTCATACCTTATGAGGTGGATAGATGAGATCCAGTGTGCATTAACCTCAGGCATTAACTTAGCATATCTTTTATTCTCGGAGTTATAAAGTTTTAATAGTGAAATTACAGATATGTTAAATGTGGATGGTTGAGGAGATGTAGATGGTAGAGTCCGACTTTTGAATGGTTTAGGTGACTTAGAATGAGGAACAGGTTTAAAGAAGGGATCCAGCTTCAGTTATGTATGATAAGGTAGAAGTATCAATATGACAAATTCCCTAAAATGTGAAGTGTGGATAATAGGCCTGTGCTTCTCTCTTGTCCAATTGTCCAGTTCTGTATCTCTCGGCATGTTCTTGATTGTTCTCCAACACATCTGGATCTCTGGTATCTTCCAGCTTTTACTCCTCAATCACTACCAATACTTCATCTAAGTATTTAGACTGGTACAAGTTCTTGCAGGCTGAATAACCTTCTGATCAGGATCAGGTACATATTAACAGTGGTACACAAACATAGCCTTTATTTTACCCCTCACTACTGCTGAAATTTGTATCACTTAGGTGAACAGATGTGTTGCTAAGAAGAACCTTGACATCCTGGGGATCAAGTTTAAGGATCTCTAGCTGGTGCTTACCTACTTCAGGAACAAAATGTTTAAAAACCTGTTGCCAAATACATTCCTGTCAAACCAGCCTTTCTTACCTCTTGTAATAATTGACTGCCAACCCTTTTATGCAATCCTTTAAAACGCTTCGCTGTGTTGATTTGCCTGTCACCATCAGTTTGAAATGATCAAGAAGCGATTTTTGCTGAGATTAAGATCTGATGCCCTTTCGAGTTGTTTTCCTGGTAAACCAGCGTGCATTTATAAACTATGCTAAAGAATTGTTTGATCTTTTATAACTTAACACTAAGAACAAATTTTAAATACAAACCCAGAGTTTTTACATTATTGTTTAATCAATTTCAAGTTGTGAAATACTGATTAAAACTGTTATTCAATATGTAGTTGTATATTATACATACAGTGGTATGTTTGTATGGACTTTCAGATTCTCTTTTGATTTTCCATTTAAATTTTTAATATACAAATAAAAGAAAATGGTACTTCTAATATCTATGGTGTTTATTTTAACCTTATATAAGAACCTTAATAGTGAAACTGGAATACAAAGATGACCCCTGAAGATATTTTGATGACTGATTACTATTATATTTAAGGGAAGTGATAAATCTTAGGGACTGTACAGAAACTGGGAAATGAGAGACTAAAGCTGAGGACAAATCCAATTCCTCAGCTCGGGAACCTTCCTTATGAGTCTAATACTTCGGATCAACACCTTGAATGGAATATTACTAGCGAGTTTGCAACTATCTGTATACCACATTTACTAAAGTATGGGGTATACCTGGAGAGGGTTTCAGGGGTCAATGCCCCCTGGCCCGATCTATGACTGGGCCTCACAGTGGATCAAGACCTGATCAACCAGGCTGTTACTGCTGGCCACAGTGAGGGGATTAAGTGTTTATTAAAAGTTAATAAAGAGAATAGTCTTGAATTCTAAGCTATCTTCTCCCAGCTGTTAATTCTGATGGTCTCATCCCCAGGCACTAAGACCCACTGGTTCAGCATCTCTACCATCATAATAATAATCCAAACATTATAGCCTGTAGAAGTTAAGTGTTGCTCCATGACTGTAATTCCTAGGTGCTGGATAACTCTTACCTCACATCCTAGTCATCAGTCATCACACCACAATCATCACATCAGTCATCACACACAGTCATCACATCAGAGTCATCACACACACAGTCATCATATCACAGTCATCACAGAGGCAGTTGAAAGGTCTTGGGGCCCCGGGTATTTACTGTATTGTCTCTTAGTGTACTCACGGCACTCTATACTTTTAGTTGGGGGGATGTTGCATCATCTGCCCAGTCTTTTGCTTTCGTAGGGAGTGATTTATGTGTGCAGATTTGGAAGTAACCCCACTAGGATTTTCCAGGTGTAAATTTTGTATCTTTCTCACCTGCATTCCAAGGAGTACAGGTCAGAGGACTTCAACCATTTCCAGTACGAGGTACTTTATTGTGCTTATATATACAGTGAAAATTCTCTGTATATTTTCCAGATCTGCAATTTCACCTGCCTTAAAAGGGGCTGTTAGTGTAGAGCAATATTCCAGCCTAGAGAAAATAAGTGACTTAGAGAATCATGATATGCATGGCATTCCTAGTTTTGAAGGTTCTCGTTATCCACAATTAATAAATATATATATATTCAGCCAATGTACCAAATATCAACAGACTCTGATATGCGAATTTAAAATTGCTTAAAATGATTATGAGTTTGTAATTGCGAACTATGTCAGTAAATTAGTCAGTTAGCAGGACAGCTGTCTGTTGCACTGACAGGTCAATTGTCGGCTACAGCTGTATAGCCCTTGTGGCTTAGCGCTTCTTTTTGATTATAATAATAATAATAATTGTCGGCTACACTGAGGGTCAACTGTCAGCTATACCGAGGGTCAACTGTCAGCTATACCGAGGGTCAACTGTTAGCTGCACTGACAGGTCAACTGTCAGCTGCACTGACAGGTCAACTGTCAGCTGCACTGACAGGTCAACTGTCAGGAACACCCTGTACACTATTCAACAAACAAGTTCATAACACAGGTATTATATTAAGGAAGAAGCCCGAGTGCACAAGGAGACAGAGTGCACAAGGAGACAGAGTGCACAAAGAGACAGAATGCACAAGGAGACATTACACAAAGAGACAGAGTGCACAAGGAGACAGAGTGCACAAAGAGAGTACACAAGGAGAGTACACAAGGAGACAGAGTGCACAGAGACAGAGTGCGCAAGGAGACAGAGTGCACAAGGGGACAGAGTACACAAAGAGAGTGCACAAGGAGACAGAGTGCACAAAGAGACAGAGTGCACAAAGAGACAGTACACAAAGAGACAGAGTGCACAAAGAGACAGTACACAAAGAGACAGAGTGCACAAGGGGACAGAGTACACAAAGAGAGTGCACAAGGAGACAGAGTGCACAAAGAGACAGAGTGCACAAGGAGACAGAGTACACAAAGAGAGTACACAAGGAGAGTACACAAGGAGACAGAGTGCACAAGGAGACAGAGTGCACAGAGACAGAGTGCACAAGGAGACAGAGTGCACAGAGACAGAGTGCACAAGGAGACAGAGTGCACAAAGAGACAGAGTGCACAAAGAGACAGTACACAAAGAGACAGAGTGCACAAAGAGAGTACACAAGGAGACAGAGTGCACAAGGAGACAGAGTACACAAAGAGAGTACACAAGGAGAGTACACAAGGAGACAGAGTGCACAAGGAGACAGAGTGCACAGAGACAGAGTGTGCAAGGAGACAGTACACAAAGAGACAGAGTGCACAAAGAGAGTACACAAGGAGACAGAGTGCACAAGGAGACAGTGCACAAGGAGACAGTGCACAAGGAGACAGAGTGTACAAAGAGACAGTACACAAAGAGACAGAGTGCACAAAGAGAGTACACAAGGAGACAGAGTGCACAAGGAGACAGAGTGCACAAGGAGACAGTGCACAAGGAGACAGTGCACAAGGAGACAGAGCGCACAAAGAGACAGGGTGCACAAAGAGACAGTACACAAAGAGACAGAGTGCACAAGGAGAAAGAGTACACAAAGAGAGTGCACAAGGAGACAGAGTGCACAAGGAGACAGTACACAAAGAGACAGAGTGCACAAGGAGAAAGAGTACACAAAGAGAGTGCACAAGGAGACAGAGTGCACAAGGAGACAGAGTGCACAAAGAGAGTGCACAAGGAGACAGAGTGCACAAAGAGACAAAGTGCACAAAGAGACAGAGTACACAGAGACAGAGTGCACAAAGAGACAGTACACAAAGAGACAGAGTGCACAAGGAGACAGAGTGCACAAAAAGACAGAGTGCACAAAGAGACAGAGTGCACAAAGAGACAGAGTGCACAAAGAGACAGAGTACACAAAGAGACAGAGTGCACAAAGAGACAGAGTACACAGAGACAGAGTGCACAAAGATACAGAGTACACAAAGAGACAGAGTGCACAAAGAGACAGAGTACACAAAGAGACAGAGTGCACAAAGAGACAGAGTACACAAAGAGACAGAGTGCACAAAGAGACAGAGTACACAAAGAGACAGAGTGCACAAAGAGACAGAGTGCACAAAGAGACAGAGTACACAAAGAGACAGAGTGCACAAAGAGACGAAGTAACACAAAGAACAGAGTGCACAAAGAGACAGAGTACACAGAGACAGAGTGCACAAAGAGACAGTACACAAAGAGACAGAGTGCACAAGGAGACAGAGTGCACAAAGAGACAGAGTACACAAAGAGACAGAGTACACAAAGAGACAGAGTACACAAAGAGACAGAGTACACAAAGAGACAGTACACAAAGAGACAGAGTACACAAAGAGACAGAGTACACAAAGAGACAGAGTACACAAAGAGACAGTACACAAAGAGACAGTACACAAAGAGACAGTACACAAAGAGACAGAGTGCACAAGGAGACAGAGTGCACAAAGAGACAGAGTACACAAAGAGACAGAGTGCACAAGGAGACAGAGTGCACAAAGAGACAGAGTACACAAAGAGACAGAGTGCACAAAGAGACAGAGTACACAAAGAGACAGTACACAAAAAGACAGAGTACACAAAGAGACAGTACACAAAGAGACAGAGTGCACAAAGAGACAGAGTGCACAAAGAGACAGAGTACACAAAGAGACAGTACACAAAGAGACAGAGTACACAAAGAGACAGTACACAAAGAGACAGAGTACACAAAGAGACAGAGTACACAAAGAGACAGTACACAAAGAGACAGAGTGCACAAAGAGACAGTACACAAAGAGACAGAGTGCACAAAGAGACAGAGTACACAAAGAGACAGTACACAAAGAGACAGAGTACACAAAGAGACAGTACACAAAGAGACAGAGTACACAAAGAGACAGTACACAAAGAGACAGAGTACACAAAGAGACAGTACACAAAGAGACAGAGTGCACAAAGAGACAGAGTACACAAAGAGACAGAGTACACAAAGAGACAGAGTGCACAAAGAGACAGAGTGCACAAAGAGACAGAGTGCACAAAGAGACAGAGTACACAAAGAGACAGAGTGCACAAGGAGACAGAGTACACAAAGAGACAGAGTGCACAAAGAGACAGAGTGCACAAAGAGACAGAGTGCACAAAGAGACAGAGACCCCCGAAACTCTCTCCAGGTAAACTCCAGGTAAACACAAAGAGACAGAGTGCACAAGGAGACAGAGTGCACAAAGAGACAGAGTACACAAAGAGACAGAGTACACAAAGAGACAGAGTACACAAAGAGACAGAGTACACAAAGAGACAGAGTACACAAAGAGACAGAGTGCACAAAGAGACAGAGTGCACAAAGAGACAGAGTGCACAGAGACAGAGTACACAAAGAGACAGAGTGCACGACGCTCGTGTACCTCAGGTTTATATTAGATTATTCTGTTTTATATAGACCATCTTAGGTTTACGTAAACCAAACAGTCTGCTAAGTAAGTTATTCTGGTATATTCTGGCACTGATGATGACAATAAAGACTCCGAAACCTCGAAAAATAAATACTTATGAAGATGTTTACCAAGGCTAAGATATTCCTGTTACATATATATATATATATATAAATATATATATATAATATATATATATATATATATATATATATATATATATATATATATATATATATATATATATATATAATATATATATATATTTAACAAGTCGGCCGTCTCCCACCGAGGCAGGGTGACCCAAAAAGAAAGAAAATCCCCCAAAACAAAATACTTTCATCATTATTTAACACTTTCACCTCACTAACACATAATCACTGTTTTTGCAGAAGTGCTCAGAACACAACAGTTTAGAAGCATACCTGGAGTTTACCTGGAGAGAGTTCCGGGGGTCAACGCCCCCGCGGCCCGGTCTGTGACCAATCCTTCTGGTGGATCAGAGCCTGATCAACCAGGCTGTTACTGCTGGCTGCACGCAAACCAACGTACGAGCCACAGCCCGGCTGG